TTGTTATTGATAATTGGTCTGTCAGTTAATTGGTAAAATTGCAAGTAGTGAATATTGATGTACAGAGCAGATTTTTATCTGTATGGGGGTCATTTCTGGCCCCCATTTTCTGCTGTTGTAGAGATATAATGATGCTCACAGTATTAAAATCCTTAGTGGAAGACAATCATTTATATCCTGCTTGCTCCGTAGTAAGAGCATTCTTACAGACTTTTATCCTTTTGATCCAGCCTTTCAAGTTACAGTGTTTTATCCCTGTCTGATACTCTGGGTCTCAACTGAACTGAGAAGTCATTGTTTTTACAAGAATTTATCCGAAGTATTAATTGTGAGCAGAGTTTTAGGCCTCCACTGGCGCTCATTGACCTATGGGACAGATAGGTCTATTGCTGTCGAATCTGATTTAGGTGGAGTATATCATCGCTTTTGGGAATCTGTATCTTTGAGCTACTCTTTACACACAGATTAACTTTATTGATGGAATTTCATGAAGAAATCTCAAAGTGGTATTTGTGAGGTGGAGCCATTTCAAGGATTGCGATATCATGTGCATTTGAATTATTCAAGGCTTCTATCTTTTTTGCATTTATAAATATTCTGGCACTTGTGTCTATAGAAAGGACTAAGAATTGGTAAAAGATTCATAGGAAAATGCAGGCTTTCCCGAGTTTGAACTAAAAATCGAGATACAGATTTTGATTCAATTAGTGATAGAGTGCACATATGTGTGAGTGTATGCATGGAAATATCGTTGGTTCTTTTTATGCCCCGAATAATGGCTAATACTGAAGACAGATAAACCACTTAACCAATCAGTGAATTATCCAAACTTGTTTGTCAGTTATCCTCAATGGTTAGTATTATGTTAGTATTATAAGTCCTTAGTAAAGGAAAACTCTTCAGAGTTTTATCAGTAAGTCAATCTTTTCATTATAGATGAGAAAATACCTATAGTCAAAACAGAGGCTTTGATTAAATAAACAGACTAGAATTATGCCTAAGAGGAGGATTTACCATTTTGTGTCTCGTAAGTTGACTGGGTGCTATATTTCTATTCTTCTCCTCTTTATTCACTTTAGATAGTGATATAAAGGGTCCAGAAAGAATTTGAGTTCTACCCAAAAAGGATGTTTTCTCTGGGCTATACGGATTGTGATAAGCTTGTGAGAGAAGGCTGCTTTCCTGGGATTGGTGAGGAAAATATCCAGGGCTACATGAATTGAGCAGGTTGTCTGGTTGAACAGGTTGTGCACTGTATAAAGACAGTTGCTATTGGAGCAGGTAGAGGCTGAAATGCAGTTTGTGTTTACCAAGTGATATTCTATCCAGTGGGACTGCATCGGCCCAGAGCAAGGTGCACCATTTTCTAGGTGCCTTATTGGCTGACAATAGCCCTGACGAAGCATTTTATTGCAGTTTTATTTCCAAATCAATTGTTTCTGCCATTTTTGTTTTTTTTTTCCTTGCAAATAATTTCTGTAGTATGTACGGGTCTTTGTGTATGTGTGTCTGTAAATGCGTACACGCATTTTTGCCATTTGTATGCCATGTACACATACAAAATCCATATGTGCTTGAGTATAAGAGCAGGTATTCTTTGAAAATATCCCTCGGAAGGGGAGAGGGGCCTTCTATGTATTTAATTCCTTATAATATGGGGTCCTCTCTCAATTACTTTGCATAGCACAATACTGTTTGGGGAAGACATAGTCTCCTCCAACAGCCTTAGACAGTGCTAGCTGTGAATGCTAAAAAGCCTTCTTCATAAAATTGGAAAAGAAGCAAAGATGCTTAACACAGATCTAGTAATTACCATAGAGGTGAAAGCTGACTTTTAAAAAGCAATACTTTAAGTGGATATAATCTCAAATAAATGTTTACAGGATGAATAAATATTCCAAATATCCTGACTTTATGCAAATGGTACTTGTGGCTTGGTTTGGTATTTCTAGTGATATTGCCATAGAAGGATTTACAGACTACTGTGTCTCAAGCAGATTATGAAGACAGTAAGGTTTGCTCTGGAAAACTGCATTGGATGGTTCAAAACATGACTCTAGTGAAGAAGACCCTGTTATCAAAGACACACGTGAAGAGTGAGTCAGATTGTCTCAATGAAATGTGAGAGTGAATAAAATCATTATTTCTAAATTAATGCTTCATACAATGTATAATGTAAAATGTGTGTAATTCAATTAATACATTTTATAATTGGCATTTGACTAATTTCTGTCTCTAAAAGTTTATACATTCAAGATGGCTAAATTGTTTTTGGTATTCTCTTATTGGAACAATAAGAGCTTATCTTATATTTTGCATCATTTTATATTCAATCATTTATAATTATTATTTTCACACAGAAACTGAGGCTTCTTGAAGAGCTCGAAGATACTTGGCTTCCTTATCTGACCCCCAAAGATGATGAGTTCTATCAGCAGGTAAGGTATTTTAATATTTTTATCAATTTTAGTGATGCGTTGTGATCTACTTTATTTTACCTGTGAGGAAACTATGGTCTAGAGAGGTTAAATGAGAGGTGAAAAAGGTCTGATTTGATGGCCCAGTGACTCCTCATTGCCTACAGAGCATATAAGTTTCTTCACAATCTGCTTTCTGCTGTGAAATCTGTGCTTTAGTATAGTGGACTATACTCTCCCATTTCCTTGCCTCTGCTCATATTGTTTCTTCTGTATAGAATATCCTTTTGCTCCTTATCCTGTTGCTAAATGGCTAATTCTTCAAGAGTTCAGTTAAATATCACCTCCTTTGGATCTCCAACTTACCCTACTATAAGTCAAATTAGCTGCACTCTCCTCTGTGGTACTTGTTCCTTGTAAGTAACTCTATACCATCTATCGCATTGTATTGCGATTATGGGATTCTGTGTCTCTCTCCCTGAATTAGTCAGCAGTCTTTCAATTACAAGTGACAAAAACCCAAATCAAAATTTCTGTGGCCAAAAAAAGAGAGGGGTATTTATTGACTCACCTTAGAAGTCGAGGTACATAGCTGAATCCAAGTTCTCAAAAGATGTCATCTGATCGCTGTCGTTCCTCTGTTTCTTGGCTTGGTTTTCTTCTATGTGACTTCATGCTGAATATGCTCTCACCTGATAGCATAGGAGGACTCTGACAACCTAAGACTTATGTGGTCTTTAGCATCTGAGATCTTAGAAGAGAGTCGTGAGTTCTTTTCCCCTGCTTCCATCAGATTCTCCAAGTGAGCAATCTCGGCTTGGTTAGAGTCATATGCCTGACCCTGGACCAGTCATTGCGCTCAGGAGAGTTGGATGCTCCTGTTTGCCTGGGCTGGTTCATGCATCCATTCTTGGAGCAGGGTTGGAGTGGGAGAATTCCCATTCAAACTGCATGGACTGTGTGAGTCAGAGAGGGATGGTTACCCCAAAAGGAAAGTTAGAGTCCTGTTTCTAAAGAAGGAGGGGTAGGCATGCTGGGCAAACAAAATAATACATCGTGACCTGATGTCTTTTACTAGAATGTAGGCTCTTGCGGTGTAGGAATTGGGTCATATAGTCTTCTATCTCTAGCATTTGCTTGTTATAGCAGACCCTCAGTAATCAAGGAAGGAAGAGAGGAAAGGAGGAGTTTGCTCATTTAGAATCCAGGTCTCTTGACATCCAGTTCATCATCCTTTCTAGGAGGTTGTCTCTCATCTCCATTCTCATTAGGTCTTCACTAAACTTTCACCTCATCGGTCCTCTTATGGGTCTCTCTACTTTTGCTCTTTGTCCCCCTTAATCCTCAAAGCTGTAGTATTTTCGAACCAAGACACAAATCTGTCTTGTGAACCCTCTGCTTCAGTGGCTGTTCATTGCCCGGCTCCTGCATTGCATCCTCATCTGCCCACTCTTCCACCTTTGCATCCACGCTGGGTTTTTGCAGTCCCTCAAGCTAGCTTGCAGTTTCATGTTTGGGACCTTCTTGCTACATCCTCTGCTGACCTTCCTCCTTCTCCTTACCTGTCTCTTCTTTCCTTGGTGAACTTCTGTGTTACCTGTTAGTAATAGTGCACATGTCATCCCCTATAGAGAGCTTCCCTGACACCTCTACAGCCCAGAGGATTGTCTTTGCTCCCTCCCTTGTACTTTATCTGTGCCTTTATTAGCACTAATCTCACTCGATTGTAATGGCGTTTTTTTTTTGTTTGTTTGTTTTGCTTATTTCCCTCATCCTCTCTCCTTTGTACAGTGCTTGTACCTAGCAAGTGCTTAATTAGTTTACTTGAATGAATGAATGCATGCATTAGTTAATTTTAAAAGCCAGTTATATAATAATGAGTTTAGTATGATTTGAATTTTTTTTTTACATACACATATACTTTTCCAGGGAGATAGCATCTAGAAAGATTTGAAGGATATATACAGAAATGTATCCCATAGTGATAAGGTATTCTTCTTTGAGCTTTTCTAGTTTTCCAAATTATCTGCAATGAACATGTATTCTTTTGCAATCAGGGGAAAAAATAATTTTTAAAAGTACTCTTAAACCAGGTAAACTTTCAAAATGTAAATAGTTCTGAAATGCTTCCTAATGTTTTCATAGATATAAGCCTTCTAGTATGCGCATTGTTATAAAGCAACTGGTGAGCCATTTCAGCTTTTGTATTGTAAAAGTGGTACATGAAGAATGAAATGCAAAAGGTTATCAGCCCACTGTGCTGTGAACCAGCCATACACCGAGGAATAAAAGGAAACCCAAATGCAAACAGCAACTATCAAGGCTCTCTTTTATCTCTCCAAGACCTACAGCAAACCCGATACCAATATCTAATCACTCTAAGTGCACCTTATAATAAGGCTTTAGTGCTTCAATAAAACCTTAGTGAAAGTAAACCTATTCTCTTAAAAGATGAACTGAAAATACTTTTTAATGACATGGATAAATAGAAAGTCCAGACCTGACATTGGGTCCCTTAAGTGGGCCCTCACCATAGGAATGCCAGTCCAGCTGCCAGTCATCAAAACAACTGGCAGGTTCCATGTTTGACCCTGACCATGTGCCAGGGATGGTGCTAAATGTTTTATGAATGCCGTCGTGTTTAATCATCACAACAGCCTAATTCATTCATTCCAAAAATATGTATCCAGCAACTATTCTTTTCTTCGGGCTTGAGGTGGGTATTATCGTTCCTGTTTTAACAATCAGGAGAGGAGCTGGGCATACCTGTAGTCCCAGCTACTTGGGAGGATTGCTTGAGCCCAGGAATTCAAATCCCGTCTGGGTAACATGGCAAAACCCCTTGTCTTAAAAAAAGAAAAGAAAAGAGAAAGAAACCAGGAGAAACTAAGTTACTTATCTGAGTGGCAAGGCTTGAATTCACGCCCATATTTGGCTGACTCTGAAGGCCTGTGCTCTTTCTGCTGCGTTGCACACCTCCCCGCATACCAATTCAAAGCATCTTCGGAGAAGTTTCGCCGTTTGTTCTGATAAGATCATAGAGCAAAGAAACAAAACAAAACAACAAAAAGGTCAAAGCAGAAAAGCAGGGAGAACTTCTGTTGGATCACCATGGTGCATAAGGAAATGAGGAATTACATAGTCAGGAAACACACTCTGGCTTCCAGATACACGAATGCTGCCCTTCTTGTCTAGAGAAAATGCTTGTCTCCCCAGTATTCCCCCTTGCTTTCATTTATCGTGTGCTTTCCACGTGCCAGGTTGTTCTGGTGCCATTCTAAGTACATTACATGTATTAACTCATTTAAATCTTACCAATCAGCTAGGGCAGTTGTTATTAAAACCTCATTTAATTAATTAATTAATTAATTACTTGGGAAACAGAGTCTTGCTCTTTCGCCCTGCTAGAGTGCAGTGGCATCATTATAGCTCACTGCAGCCTTCAACTCTTGGGCTCAAGCGATCCTCATGCCTCAGCCTCCTGAGTAGCTGGGACTACAAGCGTGCGCCATCACACCCAGCTAAGTTAATTACTTTTTTGTAGAGATGAGGTCTTGCTGTGTTGCTCAGGCTGGTCTTGAGCTCCTGGCCTCAAGCAATCCTCCCGCCTCAGCCTCCCAAAGTGCTGGGATTATAGGCGTGAGCCACTGCGCCTGACCTAAAATCTCATTTTAGAGATGAGGAAACTGAGGCACAGAGAGGTTTAAAAATTTGTTCAAGATTTATAAGCAGGAAGTGTTGGGACCACAGTTTGAGCCCAGGCTGCCTGGCTTTTGGGTTTGTACTCTCAAGAACTATTCTACTTCCCTTTTACCTTGTCTCTCTTAATCCTTCTGAGATTGCTGTGCTTTTATGCCAATGATCCCAAACCTCTGTCTGCATCCCTGCTCTCCCACGTGACCTTCAGTGCTCCAATTCCCGCTGCCTACTGAGCAGCTCTACCTGAAAGTCCTACAGGTCCATCTAACTCAACATGACTCACGTTAATTAGTTACTTACTCAGACAAATGTATTTAGCTCTCCCACTCTATGCTAGGTAATGTTTTAGGCATTCAAGATGAAGTTATGAAGACAGACAAAAGATTCCTGCCTTTTTTGAGCTTATTGCTTGTGGGGCTGGTGGTGTAGGAGCAAGCCATGTAGATACTTGTGGGAAGAATGTTCTGAGAACAGCAAAGCCTCTGAGGTATGTTTAAAAAGAAAAGCACCCGAGGGTAACGTATCTGGAGCAGAGTGAAAGAGCTGGGGGGAGCAGGGGAGATGCAATCAGAGAGCAGCAGGCCGGGTTATACAGGAACTTGCAGTCTGTCGTGAGGACGTTGGCTGTGACTCTGAGTGAGAGGAGGAAGCGTGAGAGGGTTTAGAGCACACGTGTGACAGGATGTGACTTACATTTTAGTAAGGCTCCCTTTTTCAAGGCTCCTCCCATGCATTCTCTTCTCTGATGGCATCCACTTGTCCCGTTCTTCAAATTAGGAACCTTGCTGTCCTCAACTTCTACCCGTTGCTTCCATCCCTCATTCAGAATGGGGCCCTGGCAGTTTTACCTCTTCAGAAACCCTCTAATTGTCTTTTCTTTCCCAAGCCCACTGACACTGCCTTGACTGTGTAGTTCAGGCCCAGATTTAGCACCTTCCACCTCCACAGTTTTAACATTCTCCTGATTGGTGTCCCTTACGTCCTCCCCATCGGAACTGTTTTCACATAAATACGTCTGACTTGTACCTCCTTGTTTTATAAATTTTGCTGAGTCTCTCTTGCCTCAAAGGTAAAGTTCAAACTTCTCAGCATATTTATCCTATAAGGCCATTGACTCTATGACCCCAGACCACCTCTCAGGTCTAATTTCTGCTCATCGCCTAGCACGGCGTCCAACCTTCAACCCCTGTCATGCAGAGTTCCTTGCTCCCCGCTGGCTCTGTTCTGTCTTTTCAGCCTCACTGCCCTGGTGCCTACTTGTACCCTCATCCCCTTTTCTGTCTGGTGAACATCTACCCACCTTTAAAGACCTTACTTAAATA